CGTCTGATATCAGAACACCTCAAGCGCTCCTTCAGACGATGAATTATCTCATTCGGCATGTTCTCGACGGCCCTGAACCGCTTGGATTGATCCACAAATTCGTTTGGGACCGGACTCGTTCAATCCGCAATGATTTTTCCGTGCAACAGCTCACTCAAGAAGACGATGTCAAGATTGCCGTGACTTGTCTCGAGCGAATCGCTCGATTCCACATTGTATCCTTGCATCTTCTTTCTAGCCCGGCCAACGAGGAACCTTTCGATCGACACCAGGAACGGGAACAATTAAACAACACAATGCTTTCGCTAATGTACTACTACGACGACAACAGAGGCCGCATCCCGTTTCCCAACGAGGATGAGTTCCGAGCTTATTATATTCTTTTCTCGATCCATGACCAACGACCTGATTTGGAATCCCGCGTTCAGAAATGGCCGGTTGAGCTGAGGAGCTCCCCTCGCGTTCAGATGGCACTGGAGCTTTTCGCCGCAGCCAGCAATACCTGGGAATACCAGGGTACCCTCGATGCCAAACGCCCCAACGCTATCGCTCAGGGCTTCTATATGCGGTTCTTCAACCTGATAGACTCTCCGGGGGTCTCATACCTAATGGCATGCGTCGCCGAAATCTACTTCAATCATATGCGTCAGACCGCCATCCGCTCGATATGGAAGGCCTACTGCCGCTATCCAGCTTCGCAACAACACAAAAACGAAGAATGGACAGTGGATGAGCTGACTACGGTTCTTCGCTTCGATGATTATGATCAGACAATCAAATTCTGCGAAGAACAGGACCTCCAGTTCGCCGAAAATGCAAACGGGGATCTTTATCTCAACTGGGGCACCCGTCCTGTGGATTCAGTCGGTACGTGTGCACTCTCGGCAGCTGTTTCGCCGTATATCTCCGTCCGTCGGGCTCAGTTCGCATCCTAAGGAGCTTGGATCTTAAGGCTACCAGCTCTGGCACTCAATTGATTTGACTCAACGACTAACTCGATTTGCGCTACAGCCTTTCAGCCATCCTCGGACCATGCATTTTCGGACACATACGTCGAATCGAAGCGCGCAGGTAGAACGCTTCCAGCAATCATCATTGGGCTCAACATCAAGGAGGCAGCAAATCTGCAGATGATTGACAGTTCTCTCCTGCCGGAACGTCTCCCTGCTCTTCCCGCCCCTCAACCACATACTTCGACAAATGATGATTCACTTTTTGTGAGCGACGACGAGAACCCCTCTGCGTTCCGCTTCGCCTCTTCGCACGAAGGAAGCTCTCGAAATTCCCCGACGTCGACATCTAGCCTTCAGAACGCTTTTGTGAATGTCCCACCAGCAGCTACCAGCACTGAACCGAGTCGCCCCCCGACTTTCTCATTCGCGTCACCTTCACCTCAACCACAAGCGCCTGAAAAACAGGCGGCTCCTTTCTCGTCTTTTTTTCCTAATCCTTCCTCTAACACCTTTGGCGCGCCTTCGCCGTTACCACCAACTCCTTTCGCCACTGGCATCCCAACTTTACCCCAGTCAAGCCAGTCACCATTGAGTCTGTCAGCAACATCGAGCGGTCAGCCGTCGTCTTCGAGTCCATTTTCGAATGGCGCTCCGACATTCTCGTTTTCTAAGCCCCCACAGCAGGATGAAAGTGCAATCTCTTTCCCGTCGGCATCGGGCAATCAACAGGCTTCTTCGGGCGCGTTCGCTGCGACCACCTCTCCTTTCTCGTTCCCCAAACCTTCCCAGCAGGATGAAAGCAGTAAGCATGTGTCTAGTACATCAAACGCACCAAAGGCCTCTTCAAATGCGTTCGCATCAACTACTTCGCCTTTCAATTTCGGACAACCAGCTCAGCCAGCTCAGCCAACCACAGCGTTACCGACAGGAAACAGCCAACAGCCTGTCTTCGCCAATGTTCAAAGCCCGAGTCAAGACAAGCAGCAACAACCGCCACTCTCCTCGCTTTCATCTTCTACGCCATTCAAACTTCCAACATCTTCCACTCCTCAGCCATCTTCAACTTCACCTTTCAGTACTTCCGTTCCTGCATCTGCGTCAAATCCCGTCTTTTCCACTACCGGGCAGTCCGCTCCTAGCATATTCAGCACTGGTGGTTCAAAGCCTACCTTCGACGGTTTCTCAGGCTCGGGCTTCAGTGCTTCTGTACCAAGCCTGACCTCTGATAATGCGGCTGCTAAACAGCCTCCGTCCTTGTTTCCCAAGCCTTCGGAAGAGACAGCCAAGCCGGCATCCCCTTTCCCCTTGTTTTCTCCTCCGAAACAGACCAGTATGTCAATCTCAGTCATCTGAAAGACCCCACATGCTAACTTATCCGAAGAACAACCTACTATATCCTTTGCTCAACCACCAAGTTCAAAGTCAGAGATTTCACCTGAAGAGAAGCAGAGCCTTTCTGGCGGTTTACAAACCAGTATCTCAGACAAGCAACTTGACACTTCGACGCAAGCTGAAGTGCCAGCTGTGCCCGTTTCCGAAAAGGAACCAGAACTACAACTTGATGACCTGGGTTCTCCGCAAAAGCCACTGCCTGCAGCCACCGAACCGAGCAAGAATCAAATTCCGGTGGTTTCTGCTCAGCCTCTACCCGAAGATGCTACGACTAACGATGAGGTGCCTGTGCAGCGTACTTCCTGGTTGTCTGCTCTCAGGGAAGCCGCTGACCGGCGTCGGGAGAGCAAACCAACCGCCAGTCGCAAACGAGTTCATGAGGAACCTGAAGAACCCTCGCCACCCCAAAGCGATAGCGGCACTAAGGTGGTCAAGGCGCAAAAGCAAGAAGCGCCTCGCGTGCCCAGCCGGAAGTCAATGGCACTTTCATCTCTGAAGCCTTTGCCCAAGCTTCCGATCTTGGAACAAATCGAGTCGATGACCACCCGGAAGCCAGCCGCGCCCTCAAAACCCCAGGAGCCAAGGTCTGTTCAAGTCGATGAGGACGAGCTCCTTCTCTCTGCTGCCCGCATTGCAGCCGAGTCGTTGAGAAGCGGTCCCCGGATCCTGGACGGGTGGTCTGCCGCTTCTTACGATGGGCGGGCGTCTTCCTTTAGCGGTAGAAGTAGCGCGTCGCCGTCTTATGCCTTTTCGCGAAGCCAGTCACCCCAGTCGGGCCAAGTGAATGGGTACGAGGTTTCCCTGGCCCCCGATACCAACCTAGGGCTAGGCCGTACCATGTCTCGAACGGAGCAACGGATCCGCATGACCGGGGCTCACGGGCTCGCCTACAAACCTTTGGACTTTCCCCGTACCGATCGCAAACGGAACACGCGTTGAGAAAGGTGATGTCTGGCGCGATGGGGTCATCCTAGGCCCCGGTTCTCCTCTCATCATTCATTTATGCTCTCTTCTGTCCTGTAGGGTTTTCCACGAAAAGAAAACCCCCCTCAGTTGTCATGCATGTCAGGAGGAAAGGACTATACTATACCATTGGTTGCATTCTTCATTTCTTTTTATCTCGCCACGGCGTTGGTTGGGCGATATCACACACATGCCTTTTGTTGTCCCCTCACGTGCATGAAGCCTGAGTTATGTTTGGGGTTTTTCTTCACAGTGCATGGCGCTGGAATCGTTCATCTTTGGGCATACAGACTTATATGCATTGTACATAGCGCTTGCTGCATTGAATTGCAATCCTACGCATTTTACGGACATTTTCTTCAACCTGTTGGTTTCCAACATCGCTAATGAGCATCGAATATAGAGCAATGTGCTGATCTGCGAGAACAGCAATCCTGCTCGGGTGGGCATGTATGCCTTGCCAACCATGGAAAGAGGTGCCACTCCTCCCTGGGACGGGGGGGATTTCTTCTTGAGGTTTGTCAAGCGTCCGCCTCCAGAAGCATGTACTGTACTGTACTGTACTTGATAACTGAAGCTTTTGTGATACCCAGCTTAGGGTACGTGTCCGTGTTATGGAATCATCAGCTCGTTCGGTGGATAACTTATCTATGGTACGTTGTCAGAAACCCGGGGGTTACCGTCGGCTGAAGACGTGGGTTGCGACCCCCAGGTCTCTCTTTCGATTAGGGAGCAAGCACTGCCATCAAAAACCCGTATAGTAGGAAGACTTGTGTGGAAAGGCGTCTCTGGGCGGAGCGGCTCTTGATTAGGCAGGGGGGGCAAAGGGTCGGATCGGAGGGAACTCGGTAGCGACGCTGGAGCAGAGCAGAGCCGATGGCGGATGGTCACTGGTAACTAGTGGCCGAATCTCGTCGGCCGGGTGTACGACTGAATCCTGTTCCGGGCTATATGATGCATCTCAATGTATGTATGTATACTTGCTAGGCTATCTCTGGATGGGGGCTAAATCAGAGGTACTGTACTTGTACCTTACATATCCACTATCAAGACGGGTAGCGTAGAGTCAGTCCCAGGAGCCTTACCTTACGCCTAAGCTTTATCCTGTCCAAGCTAGTCGTCTTTGATGCTGTTGAACTCTATTCTAGTATTCTCTACTCCGATAGCGATACGGAGTATAGGCCACCAATCTCTGGGGTTCTATTTCCCCGTCGCCGAGGCCTCTGTCAACCTTCCTCCTTCCTGGACGGTCTGATATGCAGGTATTACCTCGAATCACCTCATAGCAAAAGTGTAAACCGTCTCACCGGTGTGTGCAAAGCAGTATCCGACCGGGGATGTATAATTGGAGGTTAGACTGAACTAGTCTAGACGTATATTTTTGCAGTACTTCTAGATTGGAAGTTGCATCAGAAGTAGCTACCTCAAGTGGTTAGAGTATCTATGGGTCAATCCTCTAGAGGGGCCTAGGTCTAAGACGTCTATTCCAGTAGGAGATTGCCACTGTACTGGAAAATCTATGAGGGATAGCCAATTACTCACTACTTTAATGACTATGACCTCTTACCCGACCACAGCAAGAGCCATGTTCTATCCTGGTATCATTGTCGGGACTTATCTAGCTATATCTAACAGTTACTCACAAAGTAGAATGAAAGGAAAAGAAAGTGATGCACGCTTAAGACAACCTAGCTAAGCCGAATGCACGCCCTCGTCCACGTCCTCTCCCTCCCCCTCCCCGAGTTTCCAGTCATCATACACCTCGAGCTCATCTTTTGTAATGGGCTTATGTGTCCCCCACTCATCTTCCTCCTCATCTTCCTCCTCCACGGCCACTTCATCTGAGCTGGTTCGATCTCTCATCGGCGGAAGCACCGGATCCGACAAGGTAGGCGACGCCTCAAGATGGCAGGTCCTATCCGGCACCGTGGAAGTCAATGATAGTTGGTCCTCCCTATCTGAGTCCGTGCCACTGTGGCTCGATCCCTCCCCGCTATAGCATTTGGGTGACTCGTTCGTCTCAAGCTCCTTCGTGTAGCTAGACAGCTCCACGATGGGGTCGCCGGGTGCCCGAGGCACCCAGCCCCTGCATGCCCGGCTGTACAGGTCTTGGAATGAGGGCCCGTGACTGCGATTGCTGAACCATTCATGCTCCAGAGCCTCCTTAGCAGTCATGCGCTTGTCCTCCGCCATCTCAAGCAGATGGCAGATGAAATTTTGAGCGCGGACTCTGATCTTATGTGAATAAAAGAAACTCAGCAGGTGGAACACACCAGTTTCCCGAGCAAGAAAGTCCGCCCACGATTCGAACGAACTGTCGGGTAAAAGTTCTCCGGTGAGTAGGATGGTTGCCACACATCCCAGAGACCACATGTCGATAGCTTTGGTGCAACGTCTCTCGAGCATCTCGCTACTGCAGTTAGCGAGCTGATTCCGCCCCGCTACAGACACACGCAGTCACAAGTGCCTGAAGAAGACCAAACATGACTTACGGAGCACGATACGCGATGGTACCCTTCGTTGCCGCCATTTTTTCCATGGGATGATTCAACCGCGTAGCGCAGCCAAAGTCAGTGAGAACAACCCTACCCCCCTCTTCCAAGGTTGTCATGAGGATGTTATCGAGTTTCAGATCGCAGTGGACAATATTTTGGTCATGAAGGTAGTCCAGTGCCAAGAGGATCTGCCGCACTACCGATGCGACCTCCATGTTAGCAAGCTTTCCTCCTTTGTATTGCATATAAGAGAAGAGATCGCCTCCGGTGACAAGCTCCTGGAAGATGTAGCTGTACACCACCGCAAGCTTAGTTTTTATCTCAGTGTTCCCGGGCTCATCACGACTCACTAGGTATCAGGAGAGCAGACCACCTTCTCGAGGCTTACGATATTAGGCTGTGCACCGGAGTGGTCAGCAGGGCTTTGCACAAGTTACAACGTATTATCCCACAAAACACCCACACATGGCCACCTGCCTTCTCCTCTTGAAGGGCACCATCAAACTCCTTCTTTCTCTTCTCCAAGGGACCGGACTCACATGACTCAGATCCTTCAAGATCATAACCTCCTGTAGCAGAAGCTCGCGCTTCTCTGTCCACCTCTTCCACACCAGGTCATCGAACTGCGCCATGACCCCGGGGTCCCCAGCTTCCTCCGAAGGCTGTGACCCAGGGTTCTCGAAGAGGTTAGCCAGGTCTGCTCTCACAGATCTAATGGCCTGATCGCGAAGGGGCCGCAAATCCAGGACCTTGCACGCCAGTTGCCGTCCCTTGTCTCGCCGGTAAGCCATGTACACGGTTGCGAAGCCTCCCAGGCCGAGCTTGCGGTGCGTGAGGACGAACTCGCGGTTCAGGAGCTGCAGCTCCTCTTGCTGCAACTCATACGGCGTTGGTTTGTCGTACACCCGGTCCGCGCAATTGAACATGAGGAACTTCTCGCCCTTCAGGCAGAGGATGTCGCCGTGGGTCAGGAGGAAGCCGCCGGCCGAGCGGCCCATAGGGTGGCCGTTCCAGGTGGTGACGTTCATGGAAAGGTCCTGGGCGTAGACGAGCGGAGCGATCTCGCTGGGGTTGTCGCGGTCGAATACCACGGTGTGGATGCGGAGGTGCCTGCGCGAGATGTGTTTGCCCTTGATGACGTAGTCGCATTTCGTGGACCGGCCGATGGTGATCACCTTGTCGCTGTAGATGGCGAGAGGATTGGTGGACTCTCCGGTGTGGATATCGTGGGTTAAGATGGTGCCGACGAAGAGGCTCTGAGAGGGCTGGGTAGGATGCGTGGACATGCTGGTTGCTGATATCGATGGAATAATGCTGATAAATGAAGTGAAAGTGAGGTGTATACTCTAAGTGTAAGACAGCTGTAATGATATAGTTGAGAGTAAGTGAGAGCAAAGTGAGAGAAAGAAGAGGTTTTGGTTTCTGTTTACCCCCGGCTTCTGTATATTGCTGGCTGCCTCAGGATAGGCGTGGGACGGAATAGGAAGGAGCGCATCACCGTGACCGCGCACCGGGACTCCTTCCCAATCCTTCTCGTTGATACAGGCAACATGGAAGACAGTTTGAGAGGGAAAACTCGAGGGCAAGCTTGTATCTGGCGAATGTGTACCAGTCCCTTGTACATGCTTCGCAATAGTATATCTCACCATACGCACCGGTTATACTCATATCCTGTGTGTACAGCATGCCCCTCTACCCTTCCGCCGTACTCCCTGGATAATGGAACTACCCTGGAATGCCTCACATCTAAAGCAGCCATGATATCTTTAATACACAAGAGGGCAAAGCCTCGCAACATGTCTGGCCCGGGATTCACCCAGACCTCCCCTACCAACAAGCCTACCTAGCAGCTATTGCTATCAAGCTCTATCCGACTACATCCGTTGATCAAAGCACAGCATGCAGGAGTATCGCTCTGCAAACCCCCGAGCCCATCGCACAAAGAGATCTATCCACATGCCATCTACCTATAGGGAAATATACAGTAACATACATACACACACATTAAAAAAGTTAGGGAACGCCCCCCGAAGGTCCCTTACTATCCACCCCAATTGTCTTCAAGAACGGCTCAATAACGCCCCGTTTGCGCTCCTCCAGCGCTCGTCGGTCTTTTTCCTTCGCGGGCACGGGTCCTTCCGTGGTGATCAGCACCGAGGCGAAAATCGTCGCCAGGGCAGTTTCAACCGCTTGGCGGCGCATGGCCATCTGGGAGATGACAGAAGGGGGCTCGGAGACGGAAGAGTTGAATGTGCGGGTTCGGCGCCGGAAGGCGTTGGCGGATATAAAGGATGATGGGGGTGGTTGCTCTTGCTCTTGTTGTTGCTGCTCTTGAGGGTTTGCTAAGTCTTTTGGCGAATTCTCTTGTGTTATTGGACTCCGGTTCTCGAGCGGAGGGGTTAAGATCTTCAGAGGCCCGTGGGTAGGAATGGATGATGCCGGGGCAACTTCGTTGGCGATGCGGGCTAGCATGAAAGTTACGAAAGTGAAAGAGACGCTGTGGGCGGGGGAATAGGCGAGGCTTTCCAGCACCCACGCTTGGGTTTCTTCCCACGATAAAGGTGGTGGGCGGGTTTTCTCGCGAGCGAGGATCTGTTGGTCTAGATTTTGCCACACAGTGTTGGTGACGACGCCGTCTTTCAATGACCGAAGGAAGACAAGTAGCGTTTCGCTGAGAATCTCGAGCCGGTGGAGACAAGATACTTCGGGCGCGAAGACGATGCTGAAATCTTTATTGGTGTCCAAAGCCTCGCGAGCGGCGGCCAGAAGTGAGAGACGCTCGTCCTTGTCACGTAAAGTCCATGTTTCAGGCTCAAAAGGCCAGCCATAGCCATATGGCTCCTTGGTCCACGGAGGCATGTCATCCTCTGAGTGACCTCTTGTCATACTCCATTCAGCAACGGCCCGTTCAGTCATTTCCGAAATAGCCTCAGTCAGTCTGAATAGCTCGCGAGGTGCCGATAGAGGCACGGCCGAACTCCGTCGTTGTTCGGAGTTGTTGAGACTCCGCGCTCCCGCCTCGGGCATCATTGTGAGCTCTTCGAGCGAGCGGCCAAAGCAGGTAGGCAGCCATTTGCCGTACGCAGAAATGAAATGGTCCCGCCCGTTCGTCACTCGGAGGACGAGGACTTCTTCCAGGCTAAATTGGTCCTGATTCAATAATCGAGCTAGCTCTACGTCTCTCACAAACGCCGTAACCTCAATGTTGGCAATCTCACCGGGGAGGAGGGTGCATTCGTTCGACGGTAGCTTCTTTTTCGAGTCTTCTTGTTCAGGATGGTGCACCCGGTACTCCAACCAAGGAGCCGACTTGTGAGTTTCATTCTGCTCCGGCTTCTCCAGAGAAAAGGTGGCGGATACACCGCTGGTATTGGCGACGGTCAAGGTCCGAGTGACGGGAACATCGAAAGGCACGTCTCCAAAATTCACGGCGTTGGGATCTTCGCTGGTGGGCTGATTACCATGATGATCGACCACCACGGTAAGTCCAGGTCGAGACTCGTTTTCCACCTTGTCCAGTTCTCGAACCACTTCCTGATGGATCTTGGCCTTTTTTTGCGGGTCCACGGACTCGAATGTCAAGGTAAATCCAGCCGCGAGAGGCTTATGGTCCGAGGAGAGTATCCCTTGATGAGACAAGTAGTAGTCTAATTGAAGAGACTCATCAGCTTCGGCGGTAGACATGAAAGAGTCGTCTTCATTGGAATCCTTGTCGGGATCATATTCATCCCCACTGTCGGCTCCGTCAACATCTGGGTCATAATCGAACAAGACGTTGTCATCAGCAGCCGCCTTATCCAGACCCCTGGCCTTCATCTCCTCATCGCGCTTCCTAGCCTCCTCAGCTTCTTTCGCCAGTCGCTCAGACCTCAGTTTGTCTTTGTGTGATCGGAACAAAATCCGATCGCACCAGCTGGGACCGCGATTTTTCTCGCTCGAATCGAACCTACCCACGCTGCCTACATCATACTTGTAAGTAGGCAGGAAGGTGATAGGACCCTCTCGCCAGCCGTCGTGGAACGCCTTACGCTTGCTCTGCTGCGTCGTGAGCTGGTCATGAGGCAATAGAGACGATATCGTGGTCTGTAAGGAGGCGGGATCTGTATGGGGATCGATGTCGTCGTCCGAAACAGGGGGACTAGAGCTGCCTCTCCTAGATGATCGCTGTTGAGCTCCTCCTTCTTTGTCTATTACAAGCGGTGATTCAGTACGCCCATCGGTATTCACTCGTGTCTTGTGCCGGTTATCGTAGTCGTTCTCCGTATGTCGAGCCAGCACTCGACGCACATCATCCCCGGGAATGTCTTCCAGTCGGTAATTGAGATCTCCGAACCAGAAAGCAAAGTCCTCTTGCCCGATACTCTCGGCAGGGTCTTCACGAAGGGTAGCGATCGGATCAATGGGTTCAAAGCGAGTCCGTGTGACGATCTGGGAAGCGTCCCAATTGCGCCGCTCTAGACTGTTCTTATCGGACCCGGCAGCCAGGTGGCAGTTCACAAAGACAACGCATGTGGTTTCGCCGAGAACCAAGCGAGTCGCGACGGCGCCTTTGTTACCCATGTATCCTAGAAGCCCCGTACCCACACTAGTGCAGCTCACGGACGATACCTGGTTGGCCAGGGAGGGGGAAGCATAGACCAGCTGCAGCAATCCCACCAGCTGTGTCTCGGCAATAAGCTTATATCCCGGTGGCAGGGCCTTCTCAAGCGCCGCCTTCCATCTATTCGCCGGCGCTGGATCGACATACGGTCTCAGCGCCTCCGCGGGCGACGAGACATCCACAATCTCCTGCAATCCCAGGACGTAGAGGTCAATCTGGTCCGGCGCAGTTTCGGACAATGACTCTGTCTGTCCAGCCGAAGAGTCGTCCGTCTTGTTTCCTCCCTGCGAGTCCTTCACCCGCAACCCAGACAGTTGTTCGCATACCCCTTTCTGTTGCACGAACCAGTTCCCGATGTCGTTCTCGGTGCCTGGAATGGCAGCCACATTCCATGTGCCGACCTTGATTCGGATCGACTGCTGGTGGGTGTATTCGGCCTTTCGCGCTTTGACGGCCTGCGGGAGCGAGGAGGGGTCGGTCTCCGGAGACGTTTCGTTATCGCCCGGGAATTCGCCGGAGATGTGTTGCTGTTGCTGGGCGATGGAAGCCATTGTGTATGATTAAGGGGATAGTATGCGCCCTCCCGATCCAGGGATATAGATCTATATATAGGGTGGCCTCCGAGCGATGCGGGCGAATACGAGGTTACCGCGGACTGACACGCGGCGCAAAAGGTTGCACAAACGAATAGAAGCTAGATGTGATAGTTTGGAACATTAGGAATTGAACATCATGCGACCATCGAACGAGAGGTCAGGGGTTCGTTCTAAATCAAGACTGGAGTGTTGGACCAGAGCGCTGGTGGCGAAGGTCGTAGCGAGCGAGAGCTGCGTGGAGTACGTACTGTACAAGCCCGCGGGAGCGGCGGCTCTGGATTGGTATAGATTGGGATGGGGGGGGCGCTCCCAAGAGAAAGAACAGTCTTGGGGATTTAAGTCAAGGTCTGCGATCAGCTTCCACGAAGAATGATCGCAGAACCCAGTGAAAGAGAGAAAGGGTGGTGGTGGGAGGATGGTTTTGAGGTGGAAGGAGGAAGAAGGGGAAGAGGAAGAGGAAGAGGACGGATTGAATAATCAATGATGATGATGGAATGGGATTCCAGACTCGGCCGCGGGGTGCTTTCCGACCGCTTCTCGGCCTGAGCTTCCCCTTCCTTTCCCTTTCGCTTTCCCTTTCCCTTTCTCTCTCCGCCATAACTTCCTCAAACCGTCATCACTTCACCTCCCACACACCCACACCCCCGTCTCTCTAAGTTGCTCTTACCTCACAGTCCTTCTCTATACCAGTCATCTCACACAATGTCCGCTCGCAAACCCCGACGGGCACACTCCAACCAGGGCACCAACAACATCAACAACCCGCGACACCACCAACAACACCTGAGCCAAAGCGGCTTCGCCCAACCCTCCGACTACGACTCCGACTACCAAACCTATCTCTCAGACACTCAACACCACCAACACCACCAACAACAACTCCCCATTCACCCTCACCACCCCCCACAAACACACCAACAACTTCCCCCAATGACAACCACCGCAACCACCACGACGACCACCACCACCACCACCACAGCCCCCGCGCCGCCGCCCCTCCGCACCAACGAAGACCTCAACCTGTCGGTCCTCCGCCGCCACAACCCAAGCATCACCTCGATTCTCTCCCTCGCGCAATACGCCGTGGTCT